CTTCAAAGCAAGTGCTTTAATCCTTGTGTCAACTGTGAGCAGGATCAGCTAGGGCCTGGGTTTGCTCAGAGCCAGTAAGTGCACTATGACACCCCTCCTGCACAAGGGAGGTTTTGTATTGCTTGGAGCAAGCAGAAGTTTGCAGGGTTTGTTCACCAGGGGGCTACAGAAGGCATCAACAAGGCATGAATTCAGTTATTTCACACTGCTTTTTTTTGGTTTGTTTTGTTATCTGCACTATGCAGGCAAGAGGAGAGAAATAAGTACTAACTAAAACAACAAAATAAAGCAACAAAACCAAAAAACTTTGTGCTTTCATCCCTATGAGGCAGAACAGCCAAGTCTGAAATGCCCCAATTTACATTGCCTGCCAAAGAATTAATTTCTGAATATCTGAGTTTATATTTGCATGCCTTACAAAACATCCTGCTTTGCTCTGACAGCAACAGCTTTCCTAGCAAAACACATGACAATGGATAAAAAAAGGAAAGACAGGTGGGGAAAACGGTCAAGACAGCCAGGTAGGAACAGGCTAATGATCGTCCTTGGTGTCTGAAAGGCAATTTAAGCTTCCCTAAACGTTATCACAAAAGCTGAAGTGACAATGAAAAGAAAGGGTGTGGAAGGTGCAGCATATGGACATATGTAGCAATTTTTCTATAATGGCTCACACCCCTTTGCCAAAGCAGGCTGCAAACACCTGGGGCAGGTTTTGGGCATACTTTTTACATGTCCAACCAACTTAGCAACACCTTTCAAACAAGGAAAGATTTCAAAAGCAAACAGCTGTAACTTAAATCCTGATGATGCTTTATAAAAAGCTTTCAAGTGAAGGTACATGGCCCTTAACTTTAAATGCATCTGTTAAAGGGAGATCCACAGCACAACAGTGTCAAGATGAGACGCTTCAATGACTCATTATGTTTACACTAAAGCACTTGAGTATACAGTTCATATTCTACAACTGTAATGTCACAGAACTTCAATATGGAACTGAGTATGGTGACTTTAAATAGCAGAGAGGACTCCAGAACACAGCTTGTTTAAAAAGAGAAAACTCCACACAAAATAAATAAAATAAATAAAAGTATCTGATTGCTAAGCAGAACTCAACTGAAATTGAGCTCTGCTCTGATGTCAATGACATTATATGACAAAGATGTGTTCATGATCTCTATTCAAATATGCTGACTGTGATTAGTCAGTACTACATAGCACTTCTATCAGATTGCTTTGGGATTTACCATGTCTCAGCAAGGATGCACACTGCACAGACACTGCCTATCTCACATGCTGTATCAGACTTCTACGCTCAGCTATACTAACTTCACAAAAAGCAGCCTTACTCCCCCCTAGGGTAAGGCTGTGATTACTCTTATTTCACCTTGGGTAAGTAAAATCCCTGAGAATATGCAACTGTCAGACACTGAAGGAAACAGCCAAAAGCCTTTCTAAAGGAAAGGGACGCAAAACTTCAGACCAGCACAACTCAAAGCAAAGCAGCTCATGTGAAGTACAGACAGCCAGGGTGCTGTTATCTGAGAGTCATGTGGATGTCTATCAGTGCACAGGTCAGTTGTTTATAAATGTCAGCCATTAAAAAAAAAAAAAAACACAACAAAGAAAACAACCCTAACTAATCAACAGACCAAACAGATGAAACAGAAAACATCGACCTTCTCTCCAATTCTAAATTTGAAGGCCAAAAATTAGTTGCTTGTTCTCTACAATTATTCTAATGCCATCCTCTCTGCTTGCCAAACCGACACCACAGAAAAAGACAGTGAGTTGTCCATCAGTGCATTTGCTTCCACTTGGTCATGGCCTACTACACCCTGAGAAGTGTAACTTGGAGTTCAGCTCTGCAACACGCTGCACGGGTTTCTTTCTCAGTGGTCGTTTGACTGCAAAGATAGCATTCAGAAGTCTTGAAGTGCTCAACGCCCTGCAAGAGCAGTGCATGGAGAAGTGCAAGTTTTGAAGGCAAGGAGATCTTGCTCAGTTCATTCTCTGCAAGGCCCCTGTTTAACACAAGCACAGAGGGGTCTCCTGGAGCCACGGTCTCCTAAAAACGTTCTCAAGCACCAATTCCAGAGTTCAGATAAAACAACTTCACACAAAGCAGCAAGATGAGAAAGCCTGCTCTGAGGCAGGATGCCATGCTGATTAGAGAATATGTAATGTGGAACACTCTCCCTGCTTGGACGACACAAGAATGGTAGAACTTAGTAACTGGAGCTAGTGGCCCAATGAAGCTGTTCTTTGCCTACAAAATAAAGGCTCCTGACTTTCTGAAACAAATTTTGCATCTGATGAACACCCAACAAATTAGTGGTTCTCCTGCTAGTTAAAAAACAAACCAAAACAAAACAGAAACCCCAAAAATACCACCAAACACTCTGATCTGAATATACTTTCCCACTACTGGAAAAACTTAAGAGAAAAAGGAATTCAATTGTTTTTGGTGATCTGACAGTTAATTTCTAGAGAAGAGGGATCTCTTCCTGATCTTCCCATAATCTAGCTGATAATTTGTAGAAATGTGGTCTCCATTATCTTTCCAGACCATTCAGCTAAAAGCCATTACAGTGAAGTAACAGAACAGCTGAAAACCATGAGGAAACTACACAGGGTGGAAAGTTGGTTGTTCTCCTACAGGGGTTGTTCTCCTACTGCTAATTCACACTTAGAATTAGCAGACAACCAAATTCCAAAAGCTCTTAGCTTCATTTTTAGCACTGTGACTAGTGAAATAATTGAACAGAGCTTTGGTCAAAAGCTTTGACTTTGTACTCACACACATACTTAATTTAAGAAAATCCACAAAACTAAAACCTGATTCCTTCTGATCCCTCTCAAGTTCCTAGGAACTAGAGATGGGTAAAACTCAGAGAAGATGACAGAGCAATTAGTCACACTATTTAAAGAGTCTCCTGGGAATCTGGAGAGGTCCCAGCTGACTGGAGGCTGGCAAGCATTGTCCTGATTTTCAAGAAGGGGAAGAAGGGCCCTGGAAATTACAGGCCTGTCAGCCTCACTTCAGTGCCAGGTAAAATCATAGGAAGGACCATTCTGGGAGGTATTGAAAAACACCTGAAAGACAATGCAGTCACTGGTCACAGCCAGCACAGCTTCATGAAAGGGAAGTCCTGATTGTCAAAACTGATTTCCTTCTACGACAGCCCACTTACTCACTCAGGAAAGCCAGCTGATATCATCTTTTTGGACTTCAGCAAAGCTTTCAACACTCACAGTAACCTTCTGGACAAGATGTCCAGCACACAGCTCAATAACCATGTTACATGATCAGAGAGCAACTGGCTCATGGGCTGAGCACAAATGGTTGTAGTGACTCATCAGGCTGATGCCCTGTTCCCATTGGAGTTCCACATGGCCCCATCCTTGGCCCTGTGCTTTTCAACATTTTCATAAATGACTTGGACACAGGACTGGAAGGGATGCTAAGTAAGTTTGCCAACAACACCAAATTGGAAGGAGCTAAACTGAGATTCCCTTGAGGGCCGGGAGGGCCTGCAGAGAGACCCTGAAGAATTGGAGAGGGGCAGTCACCAAATCATGAAGTTCAGCAAGGGCAAGGGCCAGATTCTGAATTTGGGACAGGACCGTCCTGGTTGTGTGCACAGACAGGAGTGACATGCTGGAGAGCAACACTGCAGAGAGCTCAGGGTGTCCTGATTGATAGCAAGCTGAATCTGAGTCAGCAGTGCCCTGGCAGCCAAGAGGGCCAACCCTGTCCTGGGGGGCAGACACAGCATCGCTAGCTGGGCAAGGGATTGTCCTGCTCTGCTCTGAGCTGGGGTGGCCTCACCTCAAGTCCTGGGGGCAGTTTTGGGTGCCACAATATAAAAAACCCATTTAACCTGTCAGAGAGTGTCCAAAGGAGGGCCACAAGGATGGTGATGGTCTGGAGGGGAAGCCTTATGAGGAGGTCACTTTGTTTGATCAGCCTGGAGAAGGGAGACTGAGGGGACACCTCACTGTGGTCTCCACCATCCTCACAAGGGGAAGAGAGGAACAGACACTGATCTCTTCATTCTCGTGTCCAGTGACAGGATTCAAGGACATTACACAAAGCTGAGTCAGGGGAGGTTTAGGTTGGATACCAGGCAAAAGCTTTTCACCCAGAGGGGACCGGACACTGGAACAAGCTCCCCAGGGAAATGGTCACTGAGCCCATCTGAGTTCAAGTAGCTTTTGGACGATGCTCTCAGGCACATGGTGGGATTCTTGGGGTGTCCTGTGCAGGGCCAGAAGTTCGGCTTGATGATCCTGACCCCTTGGGTCTCTTCCAACACAGCATATTCTATGACTCTATTAATGTCTAATTAGAGTCCTGCTATCTTTCTTTATACAGTAAGTTTGATGTTGGCCTTTTCTTCAAGTATCACATGCTTTTCTTAAAGCTCACAATGCTAGGTTCTTTAGAAAGGATCAAGTATTCAGTGTGCAGAGGCTCCTGTCACAGAGCAATGCAGGGCAGCAGGTCTGTAGTACATTTATTTTACTAACAACACTGGTTTTAGCCTAGCAAAAGCCAGCACTACTACTGTGAGTATGGCAACACTGCCTTGTGTATGTAACACTGCCTTACTAATTCTAAGTTCCTCATTAGCAGAGTCTTCACCACTCCTACACATGAGTTAAACTCAGCTCTTTGTACAAAGCCATCTGAAGCCCAAGGTCAACAAAGAGAGACCTGCTTATGCCTTGAACTGGAGTAATTCACAGACAGCCTTCTGCTTGGCCATCAACACAACTAGAAATTTTGCTGCTAACAATGTCACCAGCTAAAAGGAGTTCTTCACTATTTTAACAGCAGTAATGCTAAAACAATGTCACCAGCTAAAAGGAGTTCTTCACTATTTTAACAGCAGTAATGCTAACAAACACATTTTTATCTGTATCAGCAAAATGGGAAAAAGAGGAAATCTTTCTTAATTTTTAGTCACTTCTAAATAATTTCAAAATTCAAGATTTGTAATTGGTCCCATGTTTAATAGCTCCATCACAAATTTTAGCTTCCCGTATACTTTACTCATTTCAGGTCCCCTTGCATGTAGTTTCTGCCCATAATGACAGTTTAGGAAAGATTTTAATGACATCTGCTTTTCAAACTGCTAGCTGTACTCAACTTAAAAGCAAGTATTACAGTTTTGCATTAATTTGATTCAAAAAACCCCAAAAACCTAAAAGGTTTATATGGCAGGGAAGCCACAGCACATACTGGGAGCTGGTCAGGGAACACAACATCCTGTTTGAAAGTCTACACCTTGGGGCCGCTCAGACCACCAGCCACATACACCTGTGGTGAAGATCTCTGTAATATTTGGATTAAAATGTTTATTTAATTTAATAAATATCTATGCCATGCAAATATATTATTTGCATTAAAGAGCTTCAACCCAAATTGAAGGACAAACTCACCACATTGTAAGCTGGTGTTTAGCTGTCCTTCTCTTCTGCTACCAGGGTAACAATAACTCTCACTATCCTCCTACACCATGGCAGGGAGTGGGCACAGGGAATGGGAGAGTCAGAGGCAGCAGCACCTGCCTGGGTGCCAAGTGTTGACACAACAGCTCTGCTGCATGAGCAGGTCTCTCCTTAGGTACAGTAGCAAAGGCCAAATTCTACTCTGTTACTTTTATGAGGTGAAGAGAAGAAGAGGTGCACAGGCAGAAGAGAAACAGTCAAAAACATTCACCACGGACATAGTTATGATCCAAAGAGAGACAGTACCTCTGCATTTAAACGCAACACAAGCCTAATGAAAATATAAAAATCACACATACCCTTCCCCCAAAACACTCAGCACCTTTCCCACCTGAAAAGATACAATGAACAGAAATGATGTCCCAAAACCAAAATGGAAGGAATCTTTGTTAACAGACACAGTCCCTGAATTTTTAAGATGTGGTCTTGCTGTAGTTATACCACCTCATCTGACTCCAAACCATGTACTTCATAGAGAGTGTCCAAGATATTTAGCTGCTTTTCCATGGCTGGTAAGTAAATGTTGAGGTCCCTCTGCATTCCTTTGTAAAATGTTTCTTCCTGAGGATCGCACTCATCTACAGACAGAGCTGCCACAAAATCTTCATACGTTGGAGCTGCCCTTAAAGCTAACTGGGAGAGGAAACAAAGCTTTTAGATTTGCAACATAGAATGGGAAAAGAAATACAATTAAAGCCTTGAAAAACTTCTAAGACTTCCCTCTTTGCATTTAGACTGCATAGCTTCAACTTAATCACATGTACATGCATATGTTGAGAATTTTAACTAGAAGGGAGGTTAACTTTATAAATATTTTTTATTATTATTTTTGTGTAGATCCCCAGTTAAAGATATCTTCAGAGATGCTAGACTTTTAGAAAGTGTTTGTGCATCATATTTTATATAAATACATTGGACACATCAGAAATCAATTAAATACAAACCCCATATAAAGTACAGTTTGTCAGGGGAGCTTCCAACCCAGTGTTACACACCATCACTAAATTCTCAACATGCTCTTTAGAAAGCTCTCTCCAACAATTCTGCTCCTCTCAAAGTCATGATTGCCTGGATGAGGTTTTCATTTTTCCTTTTGGAATTTCAGTGATAATTTTCCAATAACAGACACAAGGGGGAGCTGCCAGACTGGACGAAAAGTTTCCTCTATCCAACTCCCCACACACACTGTGCTAACCCTGTCTGAATGCTCTTCATATTCAAAGCGAGATCAATCTTCAAAAAAGCAACCTCAAAACCTCTTTTCTTCATTTAACAGCCCTACAAAACTGTGCTCAAAAGCACATAATTAAAAAATTGTGCATGCAAATGCAATCTGCTTGTTTCATCTCTGGAAATCAGGCCCCATCCTGAAAGCCCAGTACTAAACACAGTGAAAGCCACAATCCTCAATTTGAAAATAAGGTCTAGCAAAGGAATCTATTAATTTTAATACTTAGCATTTTAACACGGTTTATTAATTACATACAATATGAGATCACAAGGACAAGACCCCCAGTTCTGTCAGCAGCCAAGATAAATACTCACAGCGAAGACCCCGCGGACAACCCAACCATGGTGCTGCCGTAACGTCTTTCCATAAGCATTGTCTTAAAGGAAAAGAAAATAAATCAAGAGATAGATGTATGACAGTTTTAAGTTTGCATCACAAAGAGAACACAGAGCTTAGAGATGACTATTCAAGGGTATATTCCTGCTATTCAATGTAAATAATGGCTGTTTCTGAGCAGACTGAAAGGAGATGACAGATTTGGGATTTCTGCACTGGGGTCTCAGCTCCCCTGTCAAATCTCCTTCAACTCATCCACAGCAAGTAAGTGTTCCAACAGACAGGAAGGCTAATGCAAAGTCTAAGAAAATACTGTATGGAGCGAAATTCCAACAGTAAACCAAAGCTGCAGTGGTGGTACAGATATAGAAGAGCTTTTCAGGGGAAGAAAGCAAATGAAAAAGTAGAAAACACCAGCAGCATGACTCTGCTGCAGACACAGAGCAATTCAAGGAGCAGTTCAGTGCTGAAGCCTTCAGACTCAGAAGGTCCAATAAGTGCCTAATCACCTTCCATGGTGTTTAACACCCATATCTGGGAGCAATGTATTTCAGCCTCATTCCAAGAGCTGCTACATACTTCAGTGTAGTAGTTTTTTTTACTAATCCTATAAGGCAATTGCTTTGCTGTGTAAAAGAAGATAACATAAAAAGCTTTAAAAAAGCTGTTTTGAATTTGGTTTAAAGGATTATTACAACATTATACTGCATGCATGTAGAAAGGGTCTTGCCCAGGAGCAACCAAGTAAAGTCTAAGAGGAGTTTGTATTTTGTTTTGTACTTACTGTGGTCAGTAGCTTGACAAAGAAAGTGTCAGAAATTGTATACTTGGAAAAAAATCCTTCTTCTTTGTTAAAACCTCCCTTCTAATTCATGCAGGCAATTCACAGCCAAATTGGCAAAGAGGTGATTTCCAAGAATGATGGCCAATCACACAAGGAATTAGAAAACTAACAAAACAGCAATTATACATTTGGGAGCGCTCCCACTGCAAACCAGTAGAGAAATTTGCATGAGTCAAAGCACTTGACTGTCTCCTCTGCCAAAAGTATGCCAATTACAGGAATCTTTATTTGCTAATGAATTACATTTACAGTTATCTAGTAACCCATCTCAAGGCAACCATTTTAAAAAACTGCAGTTTTCAAAAATGTTATGCCTTAGAGATCACTTTCCTCATCAGCCACTGAAGAAAAGACACAGGTTCTAAACAAGAAGGAAAGTAGTCAAGCATGTGAATTTAGAAGCAGATGAAGAACAAAGCAATTGGCACTTACTCAGAGCTGTTTGGATATTCTTCTCCCCATTCTTCACTTCTGTCAAAAACCCTTTCAAGAACTTTAAACCTCTGCCAGGACGAACCCATGAAATAAAAAGAAACCCTGTTTATAAGAAAGTAATCCAAAGTATAACAAAGCCCCCAGAGTTGCAATACAACTCCAAAGTGCAATAAAACTCAGTATTAAGGGGCCAATTTCAATCTGAACAAAATTGCAGCCACCTCCTCCAGCCTCTCTCCCAGTCCAAGGGAAAAATACTTTGCTAAACATTTCTGCTGCAGCTTGAAATCATCTGCTTGATGCCCTAGCCAAGAAGGATCAGTCATTCACTCTAACTTCACTTTTACAGGAAAAAAGTTTGACTGCAATGTTTTTCTCTGGCCTTTTGGCAAAGTTGCAGTGATACAACCACAGAAAGCACATTAATCTTGAAGCTGGCCAGTTTGGATTGATGGAGCCTGTGGCAAGTAACCAGCCTGCCCCACGTACATAAGATTGCACTGGTGAAAGGCTCCTCACTGCACCAGCAGCTCCCAGTGAAGGCAGCTACAAGGCCATTCATTACCTTTTCAGCCACAGGAGAGCCTCTGTAGCAGAGTTTCTAACTTGTGCTACACCTGCATTCACTTCATGGAGCACAATCTTCTGAAGGGTATCAAACTCTTCTTTGTTGGTTATAAATTTCTGGTTTATTTTCTGGAAAGAATATAATAGGCAAAGCTTTAGGTCTTTTAAGGCCCAACAGGAGCTTATAAATATCCTCTGTTTACCAGGACTCTTCCCTGCCAAGAGACAATACAGATTCCCAAGGATGTCACACACTCCCCACGGCACAGCATGGCTGCTCTGACACCCTGGGCATGTCATCACTGGGCACACCCCAGACACATCTGGCTAACACAACCAAAATAAAGCATCTCAGCCAAAAATTTACATGGGACCTACCATTTCTGTCCAACAAAATGCTTGAAGTTCCCATGACATCCTTCCTACTGGAGGAAAGGAGTCAATTCAAACTGCTCTTCAAGCAAAGTCTCATTTGCCCAGAGCTTCAACTACAAGCCAAATTTACCTTCTGACCACTGCAAACTCTCAATATTACACTTAGCAGTGCTCAGCATGCCTATGGTTCAGTTTATTCCCAAGTTTCTGTACACAACTCCTCACGCAAACAAAAGAGAAAATATATAAAGGGCACACAAACAGATTTTTCTTCTACATTGAAGGAGTAGCTGCCTATCACTTGGTAATAAATATTCTATGGTTTCGTTCTTTAAATAGCATTCTTTTCTCTTGCTATTTTCAGTCTTCCAGTGGCTACCTTCTAGAAGATAAGCAACCAAACAAATCTGATTGTATACAACATTCCTTAGCACACACTCAGAAGATATATTTTGCCTTTACTTCTTTTTTCTTGAAAGAAAATGCTACAAAAAATCTTGCTATGAACACATTTTGGCACATAACTAGTATTTCAAAGGTTCTTCAAGGTTCTTCAGAAGGTACTTGAAGCTGGAAGAACTTCCAGAACAAGAACCAAGCCTGCATGGGTTGCCCCAGTCTGCTGAGAAATTGCTTCTTAAACTGCTTCTCAATCCTACTTGATTGAGCAAAGGGGCTTTTCCTCCATTCCCTCCATTTGTTTTACAGGTTAAAGTCAACATTGCTAACATCACATCATGACTTATAACCTATACAGCTCAGGATCAAAGTCACACTCATTTGGTGTAACAGATGTTTTACTTGGCAGTCAATCAAGTATTTTATAAGTTTGTACACAAGTGGATTTATTAAACACAGCATGTACTGTCAGAACAGAATTAGGGGCATTTCAGTGTTTTAAGCTGACAGATGGTAACATTATCAAATATTAAATAACCTTCCAGTACTGACTCCTACCACATAGATTCTTGAGCACTCGGGTCTAAAGTAGATATTTTGTTTAAAAAATGAAAACCAGTGCTAGAAATTAGTTACCTTGATGTTGCCTACAAAATCCATTTTAACTGGAGCAAAAACAGTCGGTCCCAGCTTGTCTACGGAAAAAAAAGAGCCAGATTTTAAAATTGTCTCTTTTTCCAGTTCTCATGTTTTAGTAAAAATGAGTTTCATTTACTCATTTCACAAATGGCAGGAAAATACTAAATGAATAACAAACTGATCTTTTTCTCTGGTATAGAACTAATCCATCCCAGTTGCTACACATGTTAAAATTCTCTGATCTACAGTTCAAAAGTCTTCTAAAGGCTGCAGGCTCACAGAGCCACCACATCCACTAGATGGCAGGGGTCAAGCTGGTGGGGGGCTGTGCTAGGTGAAGATCAAAGTCTTTGGAAAAACCAAATAGAGGGTACAGTTGATGGTGTGCTGTCATCTGTACCAGACTGTAAGGCATCTATGCTGCTTTTCTGAGGGGGAGAAATTGCTGCTCCATAGAGACACCTAGATTGCCAAACAGCTTATATGTGGGTCCCATCTCAGTGAGAGTGGATCCTCTTTAAAGCAGAGGGGTAAGAAACATGTACTGGTACCAGTTAAACTGATTGTGGTTATACTGGTTCTATTATTTCACTTTAGTGCAGAAACAAATTTTCCAATCCGACTGCTCCACCTTTGCTTGCTGCTAGCAGCAGTCAGAAGGAGTCAGAAGAAAAGCAGCTGCTTACCCAGAACAGGCACAATTGCGTAACACGACTCCAGGAACTCCTCCGTTGGTATGCCCTCCTCCTCCCGAAGCTCAATATCACTGAACCTGGTGTCCAGGACAAGCAGAAAATATTGTTACCTTAACTGTTCTTTTTATGTAACTGCCAAAAGCAAAATTAGATTTCCTGTCTGAGTTATTTGCATAGAGGGAAAACTTAGAGACATGAAACCACCAACATGGCTTTTGTTTTACTATGTTAAAGTAATTGACTGCAGAGAACATACTTTGGGTGGTGTGCAAGCAAGGCCTGCAATTACAAACAAGGAAAAACCTCCCACTTAACTCTGTACAGCTAATTTTACAAAAGCTATCTTCTTCCAATTACTGTGCTGTAGGCAGTCCTGTCAAATAATCTCAGTAAATACAGCTCTACAGACAGAAAAAGTCTTAAAAATAAGTCAATTTAAGGCTTAACATTAAGTTGCAATAATCCTTTTAATTGAAACTGTACTACCTATTGCTCATGACACTGAAGAAGGTAGGAGAATCATTTTCATTTCTTTCCTCCTCACACAGAGTCAATCCACTTAAAGAATTTGTTTCTGACTGCAGCATCTTGTGGGCACCACATCCTTCTACAGCTTGCAGCTTGTCCTCTCTATCATCTTTAATGCCTAACATTTACAGGAAACAAAAGAAAAGTTACATACACATATTGTTATTCCTTTTCATCAAAATGCCTTTCTATTTGAAGGAGGGCACATGGACATCTGGATAATGCAAGTTTAAAAGCATCCCTGCCAGCACCACTGCAGGTTTGGTAGATGCTCAGACCACATTTCAAGCAGTCACCTCCCATTTCTTTCAACCAGACAAACCAAGCACCAGGCTGCAGTACAGGTGAGCCCACACAACCTCAGCAAGGACAGTCTTGTGAGAAAGAAGAGCACTGAAGAAGCAATTTGGTACAGCAGGGAGCTGACTCATCTCCTTGAAAGGAAGATTACTTCTCACACGGTTGTAACTTTCCCAGTATTGCTGAAGTGCCATAATGCATTTTCAAAAGCAAAAGAATAATAGCATAACATGTTTACTCCTTCTGACAGGTAAGCAAATTGGCTGCTTAAATGGACACTTATATGCTATCAAAGGTTGCTGTGTTCTCCCTGATTTCTCTAAATATCTTTTAAAGTTTTCCAAGATCCAGGTATATCTTCCCTACTGTGGTTGGTTTTATTTCTTCTTTGGGGCCAAGTACATCTGTTTCACATAAAGTACAAGAAAGACAAAGGAAAGAAAATCTTTCATATACATCCCTTACAAGGTAAGACCTTTGGACCTCATGGAGAACTTCAGAGAACAAGTAAAGAAGGAAAAATGATTCACAGCATCTGCATCATACAAGCCATAGCTACAGCACATCTTGCTGCCAGACTGTCAAACCAGCATCCAGAATTTCCCAGTGAACCTGTCTTTCCAGGAAAGGAATACTCTCAAGGGTCAGTGAGGATTAAAGAGAGACATGAAGTGGAACTGAGCTTCTGGCTGAAGGGATCAAGCTGCAAGGAACTCTTTTCCTCCAGGTGACAACTGAGAGCAGGCTTACAGCAGTGCCAATTAGTTGCAGAACCACTGAACAAACATGGTGCTGGGTGAAAAGAAAACCCCTCATACCCAGACCAGCCATTCTCCAGCCTCAGACATCACTGACATTCCCAAGCAAAGTGTCTCTGCCAAGGAATGACATAGGTTTGAGTGATGCACTGATCTGCCCTTCACCAAGCCACATAGGCTGGGGAGTAGAGAAACAGTCCAGGTCTGCAGCGACACTGCAGGAGTGCTATGCAAAAACCCCGGGTCCTCTGAAATTTCAAACTCAAACACCATAAGCCCTAAATGACAGAGAAAATTGCTCTGGGACTGAAGTACTCAAGCACTTCTAAAGACTGACTGGTCTTAAAAAGGGGGAGAGGGAAGAAAAAGTATCTGAGACAAGGCAGAGCTCCTGGGGTTAGAGGGAGCACCCAGGTACAGCCATCAGCAAGACAAAGCCCATGGGCTGGCTGGGTCAGCCCACCCTCGATGGATGGCCCTGCACATCCTAACTCCTCCCCATACTGACAGCAAAACTCTGCAGCTAAAATATCTATACCCAACAGGGGGTAGCCTTTTCTCTTTTGTGCACAGTAACCACAGTAGCTAAATGACACCAAAAACCTGAATTAGTTTGATGTCCTTGCTTTAGTGCTGTTTTATTGATATTATGCTAGATGGTATCATGTGTGTGTTATCCTGCAGGGACTTGCCATATTATGTAGTACCAACACCAAGAACGGGAAAATTCCAAAGAGAACCCATAAGGGCAAAATGACTATCATCATTAACTTGGACTTAAAAACTACTGCTGACTCACTGACTACATATTTATGTTTTGGAATAACAGCCAGGCAGAGAAAGCCTGCTCAAGAACAGTACAGCCCATTCAAGAGGATGTGCAAAAATCACATTACATGAAAAGTTATCCAAATTAAGTTCAGCAGCCCTTAACAATATAAGCACATTGAAGGGAATTTTATACTGACTTAGTTCAACAGTATTTCACTGAAGTTGCACACAAATCTAACTTTTACACTATTGCTAAGAAAAAAGGAAGAAATAAGATGCTTTCTAGGACACTCTTAGTTGCAGAAAAAGGGTTAATTTTCTGTAAACATTTGTCAGAGCAATCAAGAGTGACTAAAAGTTCAAGCCCTCAGACACACACACAAAGCTTCCACAGCCTCTTCTGACACTGCAGCCCTACATACCAGCAGGGAATGATGTGTCTGCCCACAGTGCCTGGAGAGCCCAAGCCCTGCCAGCCTTCAATCAGCACCTGGAGAGCCCCAACTTGTCCAAAACCAAATTTTGGACATTTCCTTTCCTTCTCCATTCAGTCCCAAGTTAACCATCAGCAAAGGCAGCAGGAGCTATGCTGAGAAAACTTGCAAGAGGCAATATCAACTAAAAGACTGATATTCCCTCTCCTGGGAGTCAGGGATCAGCAGTCTCACAAGGAGCCTACACCTCCTTAATTTACACCTACAGAATAATCATTGTGGACAAAAGATTGTGCATATATTTACCTGCCAAATCCTTTACTATATGATCTTCAACATAAACATCACCAGCCCCCTCATTTGTTTCCAAGTTTAAACATTCCATATTTTTAATAACTGCTTGCTCTTGATGGTTGATTTCTGCTTTTACACAGCCATTTTCACAGGGGTTCAATTCCACCTGCCTGAAGAAAGGGAAAGAATAATACTTAGTGCATAAAGCATTGCTTGGTAAGCTTCTTCCTGTGAACACACAAATAACAAGAGAAAAACAGTTGACAGAAGTTACAGGCTGTCACAGGCTGCTCTGAGCAAAGAACTTGTCTAAAATAATAACAAGAATGAGGCAGCTTTTTGCAGTAAAGAGGATTAAAGACTCAATCTCAGCTTGCAGAGTTCAAGTTATTTACAATGATCTTTATTAAAAAGGTACATAATAATACAATTACAGAAAAGAAAATTGCAGGCAGGTATTGTAACTTGTAGGATATCCCCTCATTAGTACTTTAAAATATACATCCTTGCCACCTACTCCAGGAATCAGTCTGCTCACCATCAATGATTTTTATGAGCTTATGGAGTGGAACCAAAAATGCAGGAGGGAGCACTGAAGTGGGAGAGAGTTGGCTGGTGACTGAGCAGTAAGACACCAGGTGGACTGCAGAGAAAAATGACAGGGAAAGGGCTGATACAGAAGAGACATACAGTGGGATGAGCCAGATCCCTTTTGTTTCACCTGCTTCCAAGTAGGCAGCTCAGAGCAACACAATTCTGCCTGCATCCAGTAAGGGTAGAGTAGCAATAAGGAAAGAACAGACACTACTAAACACAGATTAGACAGAGACTGACAATAGAGACTTCTGTTATACCTTTCTGTTGAGGTGTGACTGGACAAGACAGAGTGCTTTACCTGAAAGATATGGAGGGGGAAGAATACTGTTTAAAGCAAGAAGACTGTATCATGCTTCTTAAACTTCACATTTTATTAAACACAAGTTGGAATCAGCAAAAAAACCCTCCCTAATTCTCTCACCTGGAGGCAGTATAAAGACAAATCTGAAAATGGTGCTACATTATTAGACCATTACAATATTGTAAAGAAAAAAAGAAAAACGCAAAGAAAGAAAATCCAAAGGTTTCTTTCAGAAGGTAGTTAGCAAGTGTCAAGTGAGACACCACACAGCATATGAAAGAGAAACAATGCAGTGAGCTTCCTTTGCAATGTTTTCTTTACTTAATCAAAAAGCTTTGAAAAAAATAGAGGAAACATGAAGCTAGATATCAGGTATGGTGAAGCAATCCCATCTCTCAGATGCAGTCATGCATCTACCTTCCTACATAGATCTTAACTTCCTGTTTGTCAGAAATGCTCCAGTTTTCCATATATAGTTATGGATCCAGGAACCAACAAAATGCCCTTCTCATTAGAAAGCTGAACTCATCAGCTCCCACTGACATATTAGCACACATCCAATACTGCTGTACCTTAACAGAGTAATAATTGCTGTGAGCTCTCACATGGACAAACCTGCTGCAGAGCCAAAGTATTTTGAAACACCACTGCATGACTTTCTGTGAAACACCACTGTGTAACTTTCAGGCTCTGAAATAACTTTCACCTGTCATTAAAGATTAAGAGATTGATCACTGCTTATTAAAAAAATGGTGCTACCTCACTCGCAAACCACAAGAAATAGCAGAGTATGTCCACTGTAGGACCAGTAGCTATGATATGGGTAAAAAGGCATTCCCTATTTCTACAAATGCTACTTTTGACAAAAGGACCCATTAGCATCCCTGCTGAGGCTGAGAGAAGAAGATACTGGCCATTACCTTGCTTGTTCTGAGAACTGCTAAATTTGGGGATCCAGGTGGGGTCTGATGCAGTAACTCAGAAGTGAAGGCAGTATTTGCAATCTGCATACATTCTTCAAGAGTCTTCAGGAAAGTGTCACAGGTTGATTTCAACAGAGCTCCCATATCAATCTCACTCTGTGGGAAGAAATCAATTGGAAGAAATAGACTCACCACAGAAAATCAATTTGGAGCAACTAATGTCTGCAAAGCCCCCAGCTTCTACAGCTGTGATTTCTGGCTAACATGAATTAAAATTCAACGTGTCAGCTGCTTAGAGGACTGGCATCACATATTTCTGTGGCTATTACCCCTCTTTTCAGCCTCTCAGTGCAAGCAGCTTAATATGCTTGTGTTTTGAAATCAATGCCTCTCAGTTATCTTATTGCTGTTAGAAGTGCATGAAATACTAAGCCTGAACGTATTCAACAACAGCATTCCAGGAAACACCACTGACAGGAGATATGAAAAATAAACAAATTAAATAGATGTAGAATGATCTGCAGATGATCATTTCAAAAACCTCATCAACAAAAACTTATTGGAAATGACAAAATGCAGAATGAGGTATCACATTGCCTCTTCATCTCTGCAAAGTGAGCTATTGTTGCTGAAACGCTTTTAGCAATAAATCTTTGCAGTTAAATGCCAGTAAGATCAGGGAAAGAGTCTTCCCCCAGATGCATGAAATATGAGCAGGACAAACACCACATTACAAGCCAACACCTGTGAGCTGCAAGTTCTAATAGTGCCTTTTAGTCATTTGTACACCACATCATGCTTCTGCACTGTCTTTTAATTCACCTTACACAGTTTCTCAGGTATCTTTACAGAGATGGTTTGGACACCAAAACAGAGGTTTGATCAACCTTCAGGTGTTTTGCCTGCTTGTTCTGCATCTGAGGACCCATCTCTTCAGTGGGAGGCATCCTGGAACTCCACACCAGCTTCTCTAGCAAGGGAAGTGCATTCTTCTTCACACATTTCTCTCTCAAACCAAGGGGCAGATCATGGTCTTTAGGAGATCCCTCTTAAATGAGGCTTCTTCGGTCACACAGATTTGCAAGGTTTGAAACTTGAACTTAAGTGAGGCAAACCAAGCCTTCTTTATATCACTTTTGCTCTTTTTGTGGTCTGCAACATCTCTTGACCTTTTAAAGGTTTTGGATGTGTTTTGCTGAGCAAGATATAAATGACTCAGGCAGAAAAATGTGTGCTTCATGCAAATTATCTTTTTATAAAAGATCTTTTGCTTTTTTTGATCCACTGTAAACACATCACCTACAGGGCTGTTACTGTCTAGATCACAGGTATCAGATCTCATCTCACTACTTGCTAGCCCAACAAAGGGCAAGTCATTTGCAACAATATAGTAACACTCCATTTAAACAAGAACTGCTGTGTGAGCACTTTATTTCCCCCAGGTTCTCTGCAGAAGGAGGTTGCAACATTAAGTAAAAGTGAGTGAATACTACATTGGGTATCCAGAAAAGCTCATGCATCCAAGACATTACACATGTGATCTATAACAAAAATAGAGCTGTACCTCTGGTTCTGACACACCAGAAATGCTGGCTTCCTTTGTTTTATGCACTTGCTGAACAAGGAGGTTACAGTACAGTCTAAGTTCAGACATTTTGGTCTTCAAGGCTTCTGTGTTTTCAGTGAACTCTGAAAGTTAAACAAAAGAAAAGTTAAATTTACTGTATCTAGTGCAAGGCAAGTACACAACATTTGGTCTTAGGAGGCCTTTTAAATAGGAAGAAACCCTACATATAATATGCTTTGTTTTCACAAAGTACTTTAAGCTGTAAGCAATAGCATTGTTTAGATAGGGTCGTAGGTAGGAAACACTGGACATAAAAGATGCATTCTATCCAACAGAAAGGGATTAATTTAGTACAGATATCCTTGAATGATGGGATGGATGAGATTAGAAGACATCTTTGGAGACCAGCTAGTCCCGCTCCACTGTTCAAGGAGAGTCAGAGCAAATTACTCAGGTCTCGTCAGGTTGTGAACAGTGCCAAGGATGGAGACTACACAACAACTTCTGTGCAGCCTTTCAGTGCTCCCTTACCTTCACAACAAAAACATTTTTTCTTATGTTTCAATTGAGTAGTTTGTATCAAAATTCATGCAGATCTTCTCTTGTTCATTCAGTGATAAGACTCTGGCTCCATCTTTTTATGCTCTCTCACTAGATATTTCCTTTAATCATCTTAGCAGCCCTTTGCTGGACTCACTCCAGTGTGTCCATATGTTTCTCATTCTGAGAAACAGAGTGCAGAACTGAGAAGACTAATCCAGATAAGATTAACAGTCATTCTGAGATTTTTTCAGAAGTAATGTTTTTGATATTAGAGTCCCTGAATTATAAAATAAATTGTCTCAGTAAGACTAACATGGTTTAGTTCTGCAAATACATTACTAGCTGTTCACCCTGTGCTACTGTATGTCACTTTACAGATCCAACTTTGTTGCGCTTCTAGGCACTGCACATCAGATCTCATCTGGTGAAGGACTCTACAGTAGCATCTTCTGCCCAGTTCTGACTCAGTTTGAACCAATAGATGCAAAGCCTGGAGATAACACACATAAGGCTAAGAGGAGAAGCAAATCCTCACCTCAGGGAAAGGAAGTGCTTGCCATGCCCTGCATTTACTCAGGACATCAATAATTTGCTGTTTTCCCATCTTCTGTACAGTCACTGTGCTGAGGTTACACAAGGTTAAGGCATGAGGCCTCACAATGCTCTGTGACTGATGCCACACTTGTAAGCATTAAGGGTTTTCATTGGGTGAGGGAAGTGAGATTGCTGATGAAAGCAAAGTGGTAAGTGAATTAATTTTCACAGCCTGACCATGATCAGATTTAAGTTTCTGACTACTAACAGATTTGGAACTCAGTGCAAACCTTTTCTTAATTGCTGAAGCAATTCTCAAAGTGCAGAAGACAGCCCAATTAGAACATGGAAACATGTGAGGAACTCCAAAGCTAAAGAGACACTGTTGTGAGAGGCTGGGTCATCATATTTAGGCAGCTGTACAAGGTGGGGGTATTACATTCTCGTACAGTCTGTATCACAGTGACTCCTAGCCAGGGATTATTTACTCACTGTACTTACAGAACCCATCAGCACATGGTTCTCAAATTATTTTTATATAGCGCATTTTAACAAAACCCCAAAGTTTCCAAATGCCTGCCCTGAGAATTAATACCTGAGATTTCTAGTTAATATTCACATGTGTCTTAGCTTTCAGCAACACCAAAGATCTGAAGCACAGGCTGGACACTCACTGAAGTTGTAAGCACATGCACTAGGAAAAGCATGGGGAAATACAAAGCAAACATCATGTGCCAGCAAAAAGGTGTTCTTGCCTTTTTCCTTTTGTGTCCTGCTGTCAGTCAGACAGGCTTTGGCAGTTCCAAGTGCAACCAGCCACTTTTGCCTTTCAACTGCATTTCTTGCCTTCAGATAGAAGTACTGCTCCCCTGGGATAATCAGGTCCATTCGTGTGTTATCTGCAGGATGAACTGAAAGCAACACAGATTTCAGACCAGCCCCCTGGCCCTTTCCAGCCCAACCAAACATCCCAACAGATGTGTCAGGTGGCAGGTCAAACAGAAATGAAAGAGGAGAAATCTATGGTCCCAACTTCCCCTGCTGCCATTTTATGACTTCTCTCCTGAGTTAGGGAATGGACAGGACACACATGTGTACAGCTATGAAAGACAGTTTTGTGATCAGTATAATCTGAGAGTCTTTATGCAAAGAGCATCCTTTTCTGGCAAGCCTCTCTTTCAAGCTTCCAGCCCTTAAGTGAACCTCAAAAACGTGGCAATATGACTGAGCAGACCCAATACTGAAGTTTATTATTCATGTTCCTAGCTTCAGCTCTCTGCTTATGAGGAGTCATTTAAAGCTGTGTGATGTTTCACCACAGCTCATGAAAAGCAGTGACCCACCTGCACATAAAATATCCATGATATTAGAGGCTTGCAGTTCACTCAACATTTTCAAAATACTATAGCATAAAAACTGTATTTTTATAGAGTGTATTTTAAGAAAAAAACAAAGTCTCCAAATCTCTGCCCTGAGAATTAATACCTGAGGTTTCTAGTTAATATTCCCATATATCTTAGCTTTTAGCAGCACCAAAGACCTGAAGCACCAAGTTACTGCAAATACATACCAGAGAAATCAAGCTGCCAAATAGTTCTTGTCACCTGAAATCTCGTCTTGAATGCAACATTATCAGACAAACTTTAAATGCAGCTGAGTGTTACTGTATCTTAGTTACCTTGGATTTCACAAACAGCCATTTGGATGCTTCCCTTACAGCCCTTCCAGGCATCTTCCTGAGAGTCATAATAGGACAGGATGCCACCACAGAGAAGGAACCACCGAGGTTGCCAGCCTGAAAAACAAAACTGCATTTCTCAGTTACACCTCTCCCTGCAGTTCCACCATCTCTCTCACTTGAGACTTGCTGCAAATATGCCCCCAAAGATTCTCAGTCCCCCTGGAAAACCAAACCCTTTTGAAGTATTAAGATTTGTGGACAGACTTGCATGTTGTACACCATAACCCCTGCTTTCTGACACCGGCATGTCCATTCTGCACACAGCTGGAGCACAGCAGCGTGTCTCGAGACGCCATATGTCATTTTCAGTAGTTTTGCTAACACAGCATCACTGACTCACTCTGTCTTCCAAAACACCTTCTCAGTTCAGCACCCCTCAGTTCCTTCCACCACACCTCAACCCACCTCTTCACTCTTCCCAAAAGCCACCCCTGCTGTCTTGCCTTCCAAGTCCTTCTCCCTCGAAGGAAGGGCTAGCCGGGTTATCTTGAAAAACAATGTGTAAGAATCTCTTAAAAACCAACAGACGAACAGAGGCGGATCTGTTGATTTCTGAACATTCTGAATACCATCTTTCAGTGAAGCAGTTTTCAACAGCTCTTGAAACTCCTTGTGCTGCCCACATAAAACATAGTCTTGAATTACTGACCTGCACTTCTGGATACCTTCCCAGAGAAAAACCAAAACAAGGCTAGACCAACACCAGTAGTCCTGGGTACACTTCTGCCCACCCTGCTGCCCAACTTTAGAAGTAAATCATCCTTTTTTTCTACTTTTGGAAGGACTACAGCAGTATGAAAAGATAAAACCAAACACAACCTGACAGCTGCCATTTATGTCTAATTAAAAGCTACAAGCTCATTAACTTAAGAAGAAATGAGGCAGTAACGTCACTGGAGGAAAGCAGCTTTCATTTACTGAGCTGTAACAAGCATCCCTGGCCAGGTCCAATGGACTGAGGTTCTGACACTCCCACACTGTGCCAGCCAACCATCTCTGGAAGAAAACACTTGGACAAGACTCTGTGGGCCACATGGGCTCTTAGATATTTTGGCAGATATTTTCACTTCTGCTGTCCCCTGCACCAGGGCTCTGCCAACCAGAACTGTGCAGCAGGAGCCCAGGCTGGGCTTGGACTGATACCACATTGGAGGAATGACAGCTCCTTTCCACCTAGAAACTGGCTCCTTAGACAACTGCTGGAGCCAAGCACACCACAGTTTAAGATTAGAAAGGCCTAAAGCCTCAGGCTGTAACAGCAGGAATATGGTCTGGCTTGCCCCCCCTGCTTGTCTTCTTTTTTTTAATCAATACCACTGCATTCAGTCCAACCCAGTTTATAGATTGCTGAACCCTGTGTGGTGGCTGGAAAACAAATTAAACATAAATAATATTTCATTCCCTTCTAGATCTCTTCCATTATTTCCCAGAAGATGATAAATATATCAAAAATCCGAAGTACTCTCAACACTTCTTTACTTTATATGAAGGGGGGAAAAATCACAAGAATGAGAGAAAAAAATAAAATCAGCAAGACTGGTTTCTATTTGTCTTGCTTCCAAAAAAAAGCAACTATCCTGAAAGTCACTGCTGATATGTGGGAACTCACAAAAAAAGGAAGTGATTGTTCAGCAGAGAGAAGCAGTTAATTGCTTCAGACACTCAATGGCACAGAACCAATTCTTTAAATAATGCACAGTGCCACAGTCAATACAAGCCTCTAATTCAGTCTGGAGCTCCTGCTGCTGCGTATGAATCATTTCAGCCATGGTCCTACAGCTCACAATTGCAGCTGATGCTCAACCAAACTGTGCCCCATCCATCAAAGGCTGTGCAATCAATTAGCCAACGTACAAATCACTCTGCCTCCATCACTTTGGAGGCTGGTTAAAATATATTGTGAATTAATATATTTTTTGAGACTTTTATTTGGTTGGTTGTTTTGGTTCTGGGTCTTGGGGTTTTTTTTGTGGGGAATAGAGCAACTACCTGCATTCCTTTGCAGAAGCCAATTGTTCTTTAATTATTAAATACATATTAAAAAGATTGTGATAGACAATTTTTACCTAGGACAATAGATATTTTCAGAACAGAATTGTTACACTAATAAAACCACTTTTTTTGTAAAAGGGAAATAATTTTCAAAAACCTCACAGCAAGGTTCTGTCAGAAGATGCACTAACCACCTGTACTCACTGACAGTCAGCAGCCATGGGAAGGTTATCCTAAACAACCAGCTAAAAATAGCATGTGGCTGACAAATCATGGGCACTGCACAGGGATAACTTTAATTACAGGAGCTTCACGTCTGCAGACAAGTGAAGAATGGAGGAACACAAAGAAAAAAAAAAAACAACAAAACAACAAAGCAGCAACAAGATACTTAGGCACTTCAAACAACACAAGTCTTGGGTTTATTCAGTGTTATTTGCCTCCTATAAATTGTCATAGGAATATTGCAATTTTTGGAACTGAGCATTCAGATTTCACCTGATGCAGAAAGGTAAAGCTGAACCTTTTAAGTCTTACTGGTGCCAGCATTATCACAACTTTGAAGAAGAATTTAAGTCCACCATACTGGTGGTGCACAGGCAGGAAAAAATACAGCTGGTACTTCCAACATCTCATTTTAGAGGCACAGTACCATTAACAGTAAAAATTGACCTTGATGGGAAAGGTATGTACAAAAAAAATCCCCAATAAAGCACAATGCACAATAAAAAGTGATTAGTGGTTTAAGGTCTCAGCCATAGAAGACAGTGAAGATATTACAGATGACTTCACAGGCACTGGTTAAAGTACATATCACACTCCTGTGTGAAACTTACAGTTAGTGCCTGCAGTACCTTGAAGATTTCATACTGTCCACTACAACAACAGATATTTAAGTAGTCTGTGCCTGCTAAGGATTCACTACTTCTCGAGAAGTTTCCACAGATAGAAAGATCTGCCTACTTCCATCATTACACTTTAGGAAATCTGGATGTAGCTATCACTGAGCAAACTTGACATTTCTTGATAACACAGTTGAAACTTGGACATAATTCAAACTTTAATGTTATACAACTCAGACTCCAGACAGCATTCCTTCCTAAGTGCCAAGCCTGAAGAAAAGAAAAACAAAACCAACATCTGAAGACATGTAGATCATGTCAGACATCTACAAAGCCAAGCTGGGAGAATTACATACTCAAGAAGTCAAACTGATGACCTGGAAAACAAGCTGCAATTAAGAGAAACCACTTCCACCTGCATTTCTAAAATGCATAAAGCCCAGACATCCAGGTTTTTATTATTGCTTGTTTTCCATGAGAATTATGTAGCACTTCAGGCCTATTAATTTCTTGAGCTTCAGAATAAGTTTTTGTAAAACTTTTGCAGTAGACAGTCCTTGGACTCCTTGGCCCTAATCCAGACTTTAACTGCAGACAGGAGATAATGATGGACTTTCCATGTTACAAATCTGTCTAATAGGAGGAGTCAAAGCCATCATCACCTCCCTACTGCTTATAACAAGGGCAAGATCCAAGACTTAGCTACAGGTGGCATAGCAGGACAGATTGCTGTTTTTCTGTGCAGAGTCACAAAGAAGTTCCAGAGTGGCTGCCCTGATAGTCAGAGCCATGTCACAGTGAGAATGAGCATAATATCCATGTTTCACCCCACCCTGAGCACATGTAAACTGTGCCATGTGCTCACTGTCCCACCATCTCCAGCTTTATCTCCCAAGGACACAGCTCTGCCCAGAGCTGTGTCAGAGACTGATAGCTGGGCAAGAACTGCTGGAAACTCAGCTCTAGCAGGTCAAAGACACTGTCAGTCAACCAGGTTTCCAGTCAGAAAAGGCTATTAGCAAGAAAGGATCTTACACAGATCAAATTTCACACTCTTTCCCTTTTTTCCCATTCAAGGAACAAAAGTAAAATATTATCCTGACATAAGTATTTTGCACTCAAAACTGGTGCCTACTTTTTCTATACAGCCTCCTAAGGCTACCCAGAATTTTGGGCAGGGCAATCCCAGGTGCCAGAACACATTTTGCAGCCTTAATTCTATAGCAGAACAATTTGAAAGGATAAAAATCCAGTGTGTATCCATGAGGAACAGCAGAAAGGCAGACAAGAGTGTGTAACAATCTATGCCTCTTCTGTGAGCTATTATCCTGTCACCTAGAGAGCAGCTTCTGGAAATACCCATACTGCAATTTTACTCTGATTATGTGCATATTAACAGCAGGAATCAATACAAAAAGCCCCTAAAGGTAATGAAGTTCAAAGATTTAGCACCTTAACAATGGTGCCACTTTTTGAAGCACTTGCTTGAGGGACACTAGAGATTCAAGTGAAGGAAGCAACACCTGGATCAGGCTTTAACACAATGACCTTCTCCCAAACGATTTTTCTCACAGGGATTCCATGAAGTCCATTTTTGTTTCAATCACAACTAGGCAATGTCAGCAGCACTGAAAGAGCATCCTGTCATCACGGGGCAACTGAGTTTGTTTGCAAACGATTTTATGGCAGTGCCCAGCCAGGGCACAGAGAGCACAATGTACCAGTCAGGCATTTTTGAAGGGGATGCAGTAAAAGGATGAAGGGCAGAGAGGGGATTGTGGTGGAGGCAGAAGTTCAATAACACAGGCCCTCTGCTCAGACACTAATTCAAGTGATACAAAGCTCCTGGGAGTTTTCCTCTCTGTTTATGTTTCCCAGCCTCAGCAACCGAGCTGCTCCTCTCTCTGACCCCTGGAGTGGTTATCAGGTCAGACTGAGTTAACACACTGGATTTATGTAAGCACATACAGATACCACATGATGGTATCTCTTCACCAGCAGTCTACCACACCTTTGGTTTCTGTCCTACCCAGCCATTTCCTGGGATCACTTACTCACTTCAGTGCAGAGGGACTGAATGCAGCAGCACCAGTACTGCAGCATACCTGGCAGGGGATGGAGGCTCTGCAGCACTGCTCTGACACAGAGGAGAGAGGGGACACCGATTTCCATTCCTGCAGCCTCATCAAACTTTTCTACTGTGAGCACAGTACATAATTCCAAAAAGGCTGGACAAAAGCAAGGTTGATGCATGAAGCAATACAGAAGGAAAGGGAAACAAATAATGAGAAAGGTCAAATCACACAAAGACAACTAAGCAAAATCCAAAGAGAATTAACTAATTAGTCCCTGAAGCATACTGCATGAAAAGTCTCATCCAGCCAGAACTGGCTGAGAGTCAGGCATTCATCTA